CGGCGTTACCGCGGCGTGAGGCGGGCGGCGGGTTTCACACAGGGATCCGGTCAGGGGCGTTTTGTGGAGGAGACGCACGCCCTGCGCCTGCGCAGCTCTTGAATCTGGTCCTTTTCCTCCTGCGACTTTATTCTCTGCTGGTTGCGGCAGCTAAATCTGACAGAGGTATCAGAGATAATGAAGCCCCTGCCTATAAAAATAGGGAACTGAGGAGAAAGACCCTTCAAAACGTAATTTCTTCTGGGCCACAGCCAGGGAGGATGCCTCACTAGGGCCACCGTTAACTACAAGGCAAAGACTGAAAGGAAGGCTGAATCATAAACTTTTTTTCCCCTCTTTTTTACAAAAAGAATACAAAACATGGCTATCCTATTACCACTACTACAGATCAAATCACTGGGAGCTTTCAGTTTGAAGACGCCATCACTGCTGTCTGGAGAGGAATACGCCTCTCAACAAACAGGCCAAGCAGCACAACATGACTGGCACTTGACTTCAGATCAAGTAACACAAAAAGCATGTTGGTGCTGTACGGTGACAGCGGAACAAGTATTACCATGAGGGAAAAAAGAGACAACTCGGAATAAACTGAACATGGACTAAGCTGTATGTAATCTGCCTGCGTTGCCCTTCGAAGGCGTTTCAGTACAAGGGAGCACTGCTCTGCGAAGGCAGACCTGCTAAATAACCAGGTACGTTGCCAAACTACAGCCCCTGTATTAATCCCCCATTTTCAGTGGGAATGATTCACTTCCTACCGATAACCATTCCACAATAATGATGGTCTTTTCACAAAATAAAAACCTCTGATTTCCTATGTCCATAAGACATAAAGCAGTTACCATGTTAATTACAAGCTAAGTTTATTGAAAACAAGGTAAAAATCACTGCACTTGACAACACAGCGTGAGAGGTACATTTTCCGTGGACGTACGATACGGAGACTCTAGCCAGTAGAGCAATTACACAGCTCCCCCTGCCCCACAGGCAAGCCCATTTCTTCTCTTAAATACAAGCCCTGTTTTAAATGCTAGCTGTAGCCACCGATAATAAAGCAGCTTGCATCTGAAACAGCAATCAAAGTTAGAAATCACTTATTAAGCACCAGCTTAATAATATTTGCTTACACAAATTGTCTTTTTGCTTTCCCTCCCTCTATCCCTCATTGACTGGTTTGTGGTTTTTTTTCTTCATAAGCACTTAATTCTTCCTTGGTACAAAATGTATCCAAAACAAAGGCAAAATACTTTATACACCTTGCTGTGGAAATGTTTAATGTTGTTGCTACTTTGCCTCTTCACTGCCCGGGACCTGACAGACTCTTGTTCATGAACTGTCTCTTCACAAAGCAGATCCACCACTGCAGAAGGAAGTACAAAGTCAGAAAGTATGCAAAAGCGGTTTCCACGCGATAAACAAAATAGTGACCTCAAAGTACTCAACCTCTGACAAATAACAAATGTTAAGGCTCCAGTTTTGCACGTATGGTCTTCCACACTGGTTTCTACTGGAATTTAGAACAGGGGGACAGGAATGGACCCAATTAATTTATAATATAGGATTCTGAATTAAAGCGGGACATTCTACTTTCTATTATTTCTTTTTTTTTTTTTTTTTTTACTATTTATTCCAATATATTTATTCCAATATACAGGAATAATAAACAAGGGATGCATCAGAAAGCTATGACTTTGAAACTAAATTAGCCTGAATAATTCCAATATTAAATGCAGTCACATTTGCACATGAAACATATGAACAGGCAGGAGGTAATTCATGCATTGATTAGTTGGGTTTTTTTTAAATCTGGATATGAGGCAAAATGGTCTACTTCAAAGAAGCTATCAAATCAGAACTGCCCGGGAAGATAAACAGCATCTCTCGTGCCTGTGAATTTCCATTTGAAAACCTAGCCAACAGCAGATGTGCAGTACTTTGAAGAGCTGAACCAGACACCTCTTATTACTGCCCTGCTTTTGAAAGTAACCCAAATTGGCATTCGTTGTCTTACCACATTACAGATTAAATTTATTGATAACTTGCAGCCTGCTATTTCACTAGCCTTGTAAAACCAGGGAAGCTTGCGCCACATCTGATCCCTCACCCCATCGTCTCACTTCTCCACACATTTCTGAAAAAACACACCAAGCCTCTTGTTAAATCGGTGACGATCGCACTGAACTCTTACCTTACTAGGCTTGTCACTTTGAGGATCAAACACTTTTTCACAAAGGCGAAGGCCAGTTTCTTGCCTCAGCTGCTGCAGGTAGGCCCTCATCACCTCTGAAACACAGCACAGGAAAAAACAGTGTAAACTGAGGCAGCACCAAGCCAAACTGAATTTAACAGGGGAGCATCGGAGATCACTGCTTAAAGCAGAAAGTATGTTTTCGCATCTGCAGGTACTCATCAGCCCTCTGAGTTGGTTTGCTCAATTTATAGCCATAGTTGAGATTTTTACGATAGTTGTACCAGTAAAAAGGATCATCCAAACTTGTTTTCTTGTCTCATTTACCTTTACTCATTATTGGGGGCTTCCTATTCTGCCAGTGCAGCAGTTGGCTTGGGCGCCATTACAGAGTTTAGCTAGTGATTATGTTGATGCAAAAGGCAGATTCAGACTCCTGGGAGTCACTGGGCCCCTGAGGTCAGAAAATCCAGCTTCTGCTGCCCTCATAAGACAGAACTGCAGATTTATAAGATTCAGTTTTAAAGGTAAAAATGCAGCTAGTAAAGTGTGAGCCCAATGAAGCCTTCAGCGGTCCTGCATTAGCCTTACCTTCCTCCTGCTTGTTGGCAGGTTTGGCATAAATGGCATTAAGCGGAAAGCCAGGCTCCCCGGGGATTGGGAAATTAGTGATTCCTAGTGTGTACATTTCTTTCTCTCCTTGGCCTTTGGAGTTACACTGGAAGAACCAGGCAAACAATGGATTAATAGTCATAAACAAAGCTGATGGAGCATTAGACCCAGATATTTTACCAATCTCTAACACATAAAAAACTCATGAAGAATAGCAACACGCCTCCTTGGAGATCCACAGCCTTGAAATATCTGTGGCTCTGACATCTGGGACTAGGGTGAACAGGATTGTTTGTGCCACTAGGAGGAGAATATCAGCAAACCCCGTCCCAAGTACAATCCTCAGAACAGACTCAGTTTCCCTCCTGCACAGAAATTCACTTTTCTTACCTTTTGCAGCTTTTTCAAGCACTCAGAAATGTAGAGGGTGATGTAGATCAGCGTTCTGTCAGCCTCGTTCTGCAAAACAAGAACCAGCACAGAGCCCAGCCGCTCTTAGATGAAGGGAGACTTTATGGAACTGATAAAAGTCTGAAACAGGAATGAGTTCGAGCCATTTTGGCCTACAATTTCCCCATGAGAGAGAGACTTGCAATTCATGACATTTACCCAACATTAAAAATTAAGTGGGAAGAAGGGGAGTTTTTGTTATCTAGTAGAATTATTTAATTGAAAATAAATTCATATTCACAGCACCAACCCTCCAAAGAACTACTATATGCACAGTCTCTCAAAAAGTTACCTTAATTTCATAATTTTTGAAGAAAACGTTAGCTTTGAAGTAGTAGATGGCTTCATCTATAATATCTGTGTCCTTAGCTAACAAAAAAGAAATACAGAGTTAAACAGTGCACCATTATACTATATTTGCTCATAACTTTTACTCACTGAAATACATAAAAATGATTATTGCAAAGGCAAAACTTTGGTATTTACAAAAAGCAGAAGGCCGCACTATGTAACAGAAAACAGTCGTTGCCGTGTGAAACACTGGTGAGCTCAGACTGCAATATTTAAGCTTCCTATTCTTAGCAGGAGCTTTAACTCCCTTCTTCTCATCCCTCTATGACTTCTCACTTCACAAATGGCAGCAATTCAGCAGTTCCCCACTTTTCCACCAGTTGAGTAACTCACCAGAGTTTTAACGGCGTAAAAGTCTTCTCAGGACACAAAAATGTTTTTGGAGAAAGCATAACACCACCACCACACAAATTTCATTCTCCTCTTCAAAAAAAGCGGCAAGCTCACTTGTGACTTTCACCTGCTTTTGCTACCATCCAAGACTGCTTAAATCCAGAAACATTTCCTTCACATTTCCTTTCTCAAACTGAACCGCCACACTACCGGGGGATATCATGGCTGGGAAGTGCTCCTTCACGTGCTGAAGGGGAATCCGTACCAGGCTGCCTGTGGACCCTGTTGGGATCCCAGTAACTTTATTTCAATTTTGGAAGCCCCCCACCCTAAAGTGCTGCCTATCCGACTCCTCGTCCTTCAAAGCAGCCGAGTGTCTTCAGCCACAGCCCCAAAGCTTAAGTTCCCTGTAGCTAAACCTCCACTTCCTCTGACAGCAGAGGGTTCACACCACCGCATCCTCCTCAAAACCTACTGAAGAGCACAGTGAGATGCAGGAGAATAGTAACCGTAGGCTTTAATTACTGAAACAACTGATTTAAGCACGGCACATATTTATCTGTGCATAATTATCTTCTATGATTTGCACAACTTAAGTATTTGAAAACTTTTTTCCTCCTCTATAAACTGCAAAGCACTCCGTTTCCAACCTGTGACTGCTCTCGTCACTCTTGCTAGGGCTGGCTTGGAGCAAACCGTGAGATGATGATAAGCTATACACAGGCAGGTTGTCAGAGATTATTATAAACTTACTTTCCCGGGGCGCTGGGCCTTTGAACTGGCTTCTGATGGGTAACAGCGCCATGTTCCCAATTAGCTTGGTATCGGAGTCCATTAAAGTTGAGTGGTAAGCCTACAGACGGGGCGGGAAGGCTGGTTATTAATGCTACTGAAAATCAACATTTCTGTGTCCGATCACGTGTCCCCCCATCAAACAGGAGTCAGAGTCTAGTTCATCGCACAATCAGTCGCTATTTTCTAATTAGGCCCAGATCTCAGCGCCATTCTGGTGAAGACTGTGACGGCATCATCACCGGCACCGTTTACGATTGCGGTGGTGGGAGACGGGGTAAAACAGGTACGGCTGGTTGGCACGTGCGGCTTCATCCCCAGGCTGCCAGCCCCATTCCGCACAGCACCGGGGGGTAACAGCCCTGCTCTCCTGCCTGAACGTGGGGTATTGCATAGCTAATTGAAAGTTAGTTGGTCATTTAAAAAAGATATTTTATTTCCATGTCTAGTTAATAATATTAGATAATAATAAATAAAGCCAGGCTTAACACATACTCACACACTCAAAAAAAAGACCTTTCTGTGCACTCTGAAACTGGTCTAAGTAAAAAAAAAATATATATATTTTTTCTGTATATGACAGGTTCTTCCTGGGAAACTGATTTTTAACAACTAATGAGTTTAGTTTTAGGCCTTTCCAAACATCCCCACCGTGCTGTGCCCGGCCACTGGGAAGCCTTCACCTCCTCCCAGCCGAGGTCTGGTGGGGGGAGAGGGGGTGCAAGCAGGGGGGTGAGCAACCCCTAGCAGAAAAACAGTTTATTTTAAGCAGAGGAAGGCGGTGTGAACAAAACCAGAGCAAAACACGGCTTTTACCACCCTCTCCCTCGGGGGAACCGGGGGCTGCCCCCCTCCCAGCTGCGGGTGGATCCCTGGCAGGAGGAGGAGGAGGAAGAGGAAGAAGGCGCTGGCCTTGCAGCGGCCTCCCATAAACAGCAATTCCCCGCTCTCAGCAGGGCTCCCCGCAGCTGCAGTCCCTTTTCTCCCCCTCCGCAGCCGCCCGCGCCCCGGCCCCGGCGGCGGAGCCCCGTTCCCCCAGCCCCGGGTCCCACCCGCCCTCCCCTCC